GGATATGGCTAACTTGTATATCAACTACCAAAATATTCCTCACACTATTCCTTTAGTCAGGTAATCAGCACCATTTTTTTCAAATTTCTTTAGCAAGCTATGCATAAGTTTTACTATGATCATATCTAACCTTGGTAACAGAGCTGTAACAGATATCAATGCGCAAAGCGACCAGAATTCCTTGCTTGATAAAGTAACAATAGAAACAAAGTAGATTTTATGGGTGACTTGTACAAGACCAAAGCATATAGTCCATGCAAACGATAATATAATGCTACCCCATAGGAAAAGATAGTGTATCCATGTCTAAGGAATATAAAAAAATATGGTTAAAAACAAATGGAAAAGGCACTACGTAAAGTACATCAAAATGGGCCACTGCATTTGGTTCTTTACCCCACAACTACCCCAACATTACCACTGAGGACGTCAGCCAACCCCCAGGGGGGAGGGGGCAGAAAATAGAAGTGAATGGAAATCTTGGGCTGGTAAGAAGTGACTTTATATCCTTGGGGTCGGATATGAAGAAATCTTAAAGTTAGGGTTGCATTAGAATAAATAGCTAAAATGTGAAAATTTTGAGGGTCTTTCAATTCCAAAACCAAGCATTGTCAGGTACAGAAACGCAAGTCCACTTAACGTCCTCTAGATTAAAGAAGATGATTTCTGCAGCATAGCTTATTGGAACTCAATTGAGAAATGGCTAGCCCCAAGTGTAGATTTGCCAAGATAACAGCAGCTTGATGCATCGCGTACCAACCATTCTATCATCAGCTGGTGTGTCTTCAAAGAGCTGTGCAAACAAGTCCAGTTAGTTACAATAATGATGATGATAACAACAATCTCTGCCTCGGGAGAGTTAGTAAAAATTCCTCCGCCCCTGCTAACCCTCCCTAAGCTTCGTGAACATTTATTCACTAATATCCCTCAGTGCCACCTGTATAATGGATGTTCAAATCTCGCGATTTCGAAATTGCGCAAAATTCAAGTGCGTAAACCATCGCGCTCATCATCATGGAACTATTTTGGACCAGGATATGTTTCAAAAATGGTGTCTGTAGAAAACAGTCCTTGTGCTACTAAACTGCAGCCTCAACCATGAAATAAACGAGAAGTAAACTTACCAGTGAACAACAGAAAAATAGAATGACACTTTGATAAAGAGCATCTAGAATAGTCAACCAGAATAACTTGCGGATGTACATCTATGGAACAAGGACAAAAATCAGTGTATTGACAGAAGAAATAATCACAGGCCACTTGCAGTCTATGACCCTGAGCATCTTTATTTCATTTCGTTATTATGTTGCATGCAATCGATGTTGCGAGCCATGATGCACAACGCAATTTGTTGCACGCAACGTTGCTGGAGTAGAAAACYATCCTTCTTCAGCAACACTGCCTGCAATATTGCGCGCAATGTTGCACCGTGTGTCTGTGCCTTTATGGAACCAACATGACCGCGATTATGTAATGGAAGAACAGTTTCCATTTCCATGAATATACAAATCCTGTAATTACAGCGCTTCTCAATTACGCACGAAATCGTACAATTTACCGTCACAACGAAGGTGGTTTTGGTGTGCGCCAATCAAAGCGTTTTCATGACAWTTCGTTGGCACGTGCACTTGAAAACTGCGTTTTCCGACAATGTCAYGGAAACACTTTGATTGACGTAAAGAGGTGGATCTTGTTGCAACGGTAAATTGTAGTGAGAGTGAGATTGGCAAGTGCCGTAAGGCCTTATTTTTCTCTGTTACGATGAGCTGCTTTAGTAGGCAAAATAGTATGAATTTTCACCTTTGAATGTTATGCTGTGGTTTGTAGAGGGAATGACCATGTAACCATTCTTGTCRATAGTACGTTCAGGGAAATCTGTGAAATATCTAAAGATAATTTTATATCTTTCTACTGTATAATTTATCTAAATATTGAATGAGTTTTNAACGCAAACAAAAAAAAGCACAACGCAAACAAAAAAAAGCACAACGCAAACAAAAAAAAGCATAACGCAAACAAAAAAAAGCACAACGCAAACAAAAAAAAAGCACAACGCAAGCGAAAAAAAAAAAAGCAACGAGACTAAGAGACTGGGTTATAGGTTTGAACATGGTTAAACTTACAAAAAAAACAATATATAGCTCCTGTTTCTCATCAAAATATTATTGATAAACTGTAGTTTTACTATGCGCGGAAACTCCAGCATCGGCTAGGAACTATTATTCGCGGTCACTGAATGGAACTGTAAAAAGGAATATTCTTTTTTTCAAAAAGAATTTTAATGTATCTTATTCTTAATGAAATGTTGCACTTCAGGGGTGGATCCGGAATTTTCTTCAGGGAGGGGTGCTGACGTACAATGTCAACCCAGGGAAAAATTTTGCAGATACAACTGCCTCAGTACCACACTGAATACAAAACATGGCGGAGTCTTTCACTTTCAAAAGCTAAGAAAATATTAAAAACATTTCCAAATGCCAATTTACTGACAAAGAAAATTTTATTTTGTATTTGCATTGCATTTTGCGTTATTTTCTATTTTGTCTCAGTTGTTCTTGTCAAGTATAAATGAATGTAAACTTCAAAAACGTTTGTTGTTAACARGATGCCCGACGACACCAATCGATGAAAATCGATCATCGAAAACCAATCGATATGATCGATATTTAATCGATAATCATCAGTTGATTGATATTGATTGTTATTGAAAATCGATAATCCCAGCTAAATTTCGTTAATTATATCGATTTTATCGATCTTATCAGTAATCGAATTAGTCGTGATTGATGGAACAACTTGTGTTTGTATAAACTTGAGGGKTACCGGCGGTATGATACACATGGTARAATCACATTTCATCAAGGCAACAGTCACTGTCAGCTAGGTAAGAAAGCAGTCGTAAAGCACGATGTCAAAAGCAGATACAGAAGTTATGGTATGTTTAAAGATTAATTGTGTGGTGAAAGGTTACCACAAATGTCCTTTTGAAGTTTGGAGAAATGTAATAGGGAAGGTGAGTTTTTTTAACCCTCTTCAGCTGATAGTCTCATGTGCCAAACCAAACATTTAGAGACAACAAATGTAATTTTTTTACTTGTTCTGTTAGGTATTTAGTAGAGGTGTATTTCCTTCTGCAATTCAAATCACATTGATCTAGAAATTACTGTAGTTTAATCTAGCAGATATTGGCTTGATATATTTACGGTGTTTCACATCACGAACC